GGGGTTTATGCCTATTTGCATAACCCGCGATAATGTTATAGGGAAATTGTCTCCCCAATTTATGCATTAGCGCGGGTTTGACTGTAGTTTGATAGGTAGACCCATGAGGCCAAGAGCTTGAGGACGCGATGTATGCTGTGATTCCTCATTTTTGATAACTTCTGATGAAATTCCAACCCCTTGAAGAGCACGAGATTCGAGCATTTTGTTGACAGGTGAGAAAAGACCACGTGAGGCCAAGTGGGTAGACCAATATAAAGAAAGATATCAAGGATCTATTACTTTGATCAAATAAAACCTTTCGAGTCAAGTTCCCCGAAGCGACTTCGAATGCAGTTTAGATGTTGATTTATTCAGAACTGTGAAGCTCAGGTTATTGACCTTGTAGTAAAAGCTAACACACTGATCAAAAGAGATGGACAATCTATTGGAATAGAGAATATTAAACCACATGAGTTTGATTTCGATAAAGAAAAGGGCGGGCTCTTCCAAAGATCAAACGAGTAACTATCTTAATCACATAGATCCGTTGTACGATTTCATCACATGCAAAGTTATTCAAAGGATTCATTGGACACTAGGAGCACTAGGAGCAAGCTTCTAGATACGAGAATAGGTACAGGTGTCAGTGTGACGTAGCACTGTAAGCCATCACGTCGCGCGTGATTTACACCGCTGTGCTTGTTACCTTTTCCGAAATATTAAATCCCTCATTACCATCTTTCTCCTTGTGACGTTGCTCCTGAGACAATCTCGCGCCAAATTCCAAGCTAAGCTGTGCGATTCGACGATGGCATCTTGATCTGGATATTTGACGGTGTAATCGGTTGATATAGCTGAAAAGCTTTGATGGACAACAAATTGTCTCTCAAAGATACATCATGATGAAAGTTGAATATTTCTCCCAAATAGTCTGAGGCTATCAGAACGTTCGCTCGACTACTTTCTCGAATCTGGTGCGTAATACAAAAAAAGGTCATGAAGAATTTTGCCCTGCCTTCACTGAGAAAGCTCTCTATGCGCGTTTGTTAAACTAACAAATCTTTGGTTTCCCCATCAACTTCGTCATCTACCGATTTGATCTAGATATGAAGTATTGTCAAGGATCCTGTTAATATGTTCATCAGAGTAAAGAATAAAGAAGTTTAATCATTAGAAAAGAGTTATTCAAAAGGATCATACAAGGTATCAATGGGTGTCAAAGCGCATGCCGAAGATTGGTTCATCCCACTTCATGCAAATGAATTCCAGCTTCTCGTGCACTACTAGCAACAAGCAATTTTATTTTCATATTGATCACATCTCTTGTCTATTAAAGAAAACACAAACAAAAACCAGAGAACTAGCATTTATCAAGTAAATCAAATAAACAAGGAATAATCCATCACATCATTCTAATCGAGAATGATAATAATATAACCTTTAAGAAAGACCAATGAATCGAGAAAAAAACAACACAGTCAGATCCTTTCAATATTCAAAGGTATCTTTTTTACAAAGACAAACTAGCTTAATTTAAATTGTATCATCAAGAGATAAAAAAAATGAAATTTGCGTGTTCTTCAAGGATATAAAGAAAGAAATGAGAAAATGATAATATAAGAAAAGGAAAACAACAAGTAGAACAAACAACTCAAAACAATGAAAAAAAACGTGTTTATTGTGATAAATCAAAAAATGAAAAATGTTTGTTTCAACAACAAAAATCGAGCAAAGGTGAGTACGTAATAAAAGATAAACAGTCAAGTCATTTGGGGTTTTTCTATTCATCGGCTTCAACTATCTTAATTGAAGTTTGTGAAAGTGAAGGTGAATGAAGTTTGGATGTGACTTGTGCATCGTCCGCATCCACAAATACTTCTTGTTCCAAGAGAGTCGAGCTAACAGAAACATGACTTGAAGATAACTCAGTTGAACCACGAACTCGAGTGGTCACTGAATCTTCTACAGTCCCGGGGGTGGAAGGTGTAGAAGAAACCTTTCGTCTGCGTGGTGGGATTGGTGGTAATTCAGGTCTTGGTTTGATCATTTCAAGTTCCTCATTGACTGAATTCAATGGAACCGTATGATCAGCGCTCAAACATCCACTGGCAGTCGCTTGCTGAGGAGTCTGTGGTAGACACAAAGGTAATGGTGGTAAGGTACGGCGCCGGGCTGCCCGATCCGCATTGGTGAGTGTCAAGGGCGTAGATTTGACGATGGTCGCCTCCGTCGTACCCTCATCGACGACTTCTGTCCTTGCGCGTTGACGACTCTCTTGAACAGTCGAAACTCCACTCGATTGTTCGCTCGGTGCCACGTCTATGTCATCAGGTAGATCGTCGGGATCAACTGGCTTGCCTTCAGCCACCTCGATGGTTGAAATCAGCCCCAGTGCAGCCCGAGGAACAGCGACTGCTCCACCGTTAAGGAGTTGTTCAGCTCTAATCCGCCTTCCATGGAAATGTAACCTTCTCATCGGCCGACTGATGATGGGTAGAAGACATTATTAGGGACGGGGTAACTCTCAAGCTTGAATTAACTTTGCTTACCTCGAAAATGAACTATGATAGCAAATACCATAGAGAAAGCAAAGAAAATACAGAATTGGTTTAGATAAACAACTAAGTAGAAAGGATAGTGATCGATCGTTGAGTCTTACATTACCCTCAAGCTGTAGGCCACCGTAGATACCTTTAGACTTTGTATATGCAAAAGCAGGACTATCCGGTGAGACAGCCTCTAAATTTAGACTATTTCCGACGGGTCCCGCTACCACAGGAAGACTGATCCCTAATGATACCTATGAGACGAAAATCGAGCTTGATGAATGTGACAATTCTAAAATCATTCATCCCAAGCAGAAGAGAAGCTCAAGTTTGAACGGACCTTTGGGGTTGCAAATGCCATGACGGCTTCACGAGTTCGCAAGACCAAGACGACATCGTAAACATCAATACCAGCTAAGAAGTTAACACCGACAGTATGGATCAAGATTCCACTCGGTGGACCCCAAGTAGTTGGAGAATCCCTCGAAATAACAATTCCAGAACCAGAAGCAGCAGTCCAACCAGGTGAAGTACGAAAGACAGTGAAGATTGCTAAACCTTCGGCTTGTTGGATCACACTAACTGGAATCGTCTTGATTACCTTTTGCGTCTTTCGAAAGGAGTAGGAATCGTGTTCGATTGTAAGAGGTTGAGAACTTTGACGTTGGCTGAAGGTATATAAGATCCTTGCACACTTATCGCACTCTTTATCAAGAGAAGTAGGCCTGATGAACGAAATGTATGCGTATATATAAATATCACGATTTGAATCAAGTGTCATGTGCGAATGATTCTTCTTACCAGAATGCACTAAAGGATAGACAAAAACGGTGGAAATACATAGCTTTCGAAATCAGTCTTTCGATTACTTCATCTTTGGATAACTTAGAAATTGAATCGATGAA